GTGGCCTCTAAACGTGTGAGCACAAACGGACGCAGATCTATGACTCGCGGCATGGAAAGGCGATATGCTTTGCCTAACTGGCCCACTAGGAGTCACTCTCGAAGGTTTTTATTTCAAGCGCAGCCAGCAAACGGCACGTAGACAGCGATGCTCATTTCGCTTCGGCCACTTAGTCGACGCTGCGTGCAGGCCGAGCCCGAGAGCAGTTCCAACCAGGAAAATATGAATTGATAGAAGGCGGGGATGCTTTGAGGAGCGCGGTGCCGTAGCATGTTCATGGAGGCTTTGCGTACACATAACCACTCCGCCGGCGGACATTGACAAATGGACAAGCACCGGTCACGGATGAATCGGCCGGCTTCTGAGGCGAGCACGAAGGAGGAAGTTTCGCATCTCGTCGTCGTCCAGGCGTTTTCGAAAGCCGGCGATTTCAAGCCTGCCGCTCTTCTTCCTCCTAATGAGCACAGCGCATCTATAGATGGCTGTTGGGAACTCCTTTTATAAAAACCGCGTAACAACCAGTGGGGGATGCGTTGGGCATCGTGCCATAAACAAGGCCCCCAAGAGGTGGGAAAGAAGGGTTGCTAAACTCGAGACCAAAGCGAAGGAAATGATGTATGCGAGTCGTAATAAGACTATACAGCTGGGTCGGTCGGCAAACGGAACGCTTGACCATAGTGACCCACCCTGAAGCGATGCGAGAGTACGGATAGAGTCGTGCTTTGGCAGCAAGGGACACGGCAACAGCATAGCGAATTTAGGGCCAGCGTAACGGTGTGAGTGGTCGCAGAGTTAGACGCTCTGTATAGAATCTTAGATGGGTATGCGTGGTCAGTCTTTCGAATAGGTCGGACGTGACTTCCATTAAGAGCGCGCGCGTAGAGCGGGCCACCAGGAACAGAGAGCCCTTGCGCATACGTGATAATGAGCACAATATACCATGTTTTTTTGTTTGTCCCGCATACGGGTTTAGAGCATGACTGTGGGCGCACTGTATTCCACGTTAATGAGCTCGCATAGGGTATTAGAGCGGTGGGCGCTTGTTGCCCGGTAACCACCTAATGCACCGATTCCTACCTTCAGCAGCGCTTCGCCGCGCTCACGTGCATATTGTGAGCAATAGAACGTGATCGTGCTTGTGTGGCCAAGTTTATAACCGGCATGAAGCTGCATAACCGATACGATAAACCCCTGTAGAGTTGTGTACGAAGGTGCCTGTAACACGTTTAATGTGATGTTTTATGATTAGCTCCAAAGTAACAATCACTAACGGATAATAGAATTAATTTGATGCAGTTCAGTTTCATTAGGAAAACAGGGCCATAACACTCACGTAAGCTCGTGTTGACGTTAGCTTCTATGTAGCACGTATACGATATAGTTAAGAACGGCGTCGTTATTGAATCTCGAAAACCCATGCAGAAGCAGCGCCGACTGCTGTTAATTATTCCTTCAACCATGTGGAGTCACGTACAGACGGGCCAGATAGAAAACACGCACGAATATATAGTTTATAAGGTAATTTGATTCCCCAGTGTAAGCGAGACCACAAGGGATGTTTGTAATGCGCAGGAATCTACCAGCTGATTTTGATCCACCTTTAATACCGTATAGTAGGTTCACAGCATTTGAATAAAAAGCGATTCCGCTCGTGCCAAAAGTTCGGAATCTATCAAGATCATCTGTTTAATCGAGCAATGTTAATGGTGTGTTTTGACTTTGTCATAGCCGTATTGCATCGTATATTCCCGTGTCCAAAATATTCGTGTGTTTATGTTTAGCAAAGCTTTGTAGCTGTATCATACGGCACCTCCAAAGTGTAGAGGATATCCAACTGAAACGAAGGTGTTGTAATGTAATGAATATGACACTGTGGACACAAGATGGTTATATTTATTTAATTTTTGAAAAAAAACAACCACCCATCACACATGTTCTTCTTGCTTACATTTCTAAGTGTCGCGGTGCCTCTACACGCTTCTTTTTCAGCGCATCCATTAGCCTATCCGTAACATCTGAATTCTAGCAGCGCGTGAGATACTATCAGCAACAAAGTTCGCACCCGCGGAAGTTTGAATCCGTCCCAATGATGTAAACATCCTTTACGGTAATTAGGCGATCGTGAAGGTTATACGAAGGTGTTCTGGCTCCTTTTGTAGGCGCAAGAATGCTGCCGTGCGCTTCGCACATGCGTAACGAATGGCGAGAAAGGCCGACGGCGAGGCAACCTGAGTCACACCCGGATGCTTAAGTGTCCAAGATATCTTGTTTCTCTCTCCTTCTCTTTATTTTCTCTTTCTTGCTTTTTTCTCCTTTCTTTCTTTTATTCTTTCTTTCTATTATGTTACTATGCATTATTCTTAGAAGATTCTGCGTCTCTTCGTAGCGTAAGATCTATTTGTAGTGTTTGTAATTCGTCCCTATAGGCAGTGCCCCCAGTTGGGCAAGCGCCAATGTGACCGCTCTAACTTAATTATTTTATGAGGAGGCCACCTCCAAGAGAAGCTATGAATATTCTATGAGGTGTGCTTTGCCCGGCTTACAACTCACGTGAGAACTACCATGCGAAGAGTAAAAAATGGTAAGGATGAATATGTTTGAGGAAACTTGGTGCTCGTCCGGTGATTATGCTTGTTGGGAAGGATTGTGGAAATTCACAGCCACTTGTCTTTAACTTTGAAACAATATTTTGGCTATGTAGCTCAAGCAAAGACGATTGTTCAGTTGTTAAAATTATAATAAATTTATGAAGTCTATTATTATGTAGAACGTTCTTGCAGTAGAGGTTGTGTTGTAAGGATTAAGTTGCGTTGCCATCAGAACCATCGCAGGTACACGTTGTAAGCTCACTAGTAAATAACTACATCAAAAAGTACGTCTAATAACAGAGTGTAGGTAGCGCGATCGTGGGAAGTAAGAATTTCAAAGAGCAATACCGCATTTGTGACGATGTAAGCAGCACGCTTCCCAATTTGCACACATACGCACGGTGAAATAAGCGCGTCTTCATTATTAATTTGTCACTACCTGAGAACTTGCTGTCAAAGTGTAAATACGCAGGATGCGAATAGGTGTCTTGCTGTGTGAACTAAGCTGACGTAAAGAATACTCGTGGGACGCTTTGGTAGGGAAAAGCTCATTGCAGGCTTGAACCGAGGACCTCGACTTAGAATCGGAAATACAAAGATTACGTGGTGTTTACTTTTGACAGGAAGCTTTATTGTATGCATTTTGCTTCAAGACACGACAGTCGAAGGCAGCAAGGACACTTGAGATGTGGCACTACCACGGTGTTGGAGAATGCTGCTGTTATTGGATTTGATATGGTTCAAATACTGGCTCTTCCGATGCAAAGCAGAAGGGTGAGCACGCGTACAATGTAGACAGCGTTGTACGTGCAAGCCGCTAAGTCACCCTTTTAAAATAGTTTTGTACGTCTAAAACTACCCGCTCCACACGAATTATTGTTGCTTCTTTCATTATGTTTGCTGGCGAATGGAACAGACTTTCAACCTGATCTGCACTTCTTTAATTTAATCAAGATGGACATGTTTCCGTACAGCTGTCAAGGCATGCCTCTCGGTTAGAAAAAAAAGCCAATTATATAACGTTTGTCTTCAGGGCGCAGCAAGAGTATCGTACTAAATGAGAATTAAGTAAGGATGCTACACCACGAATTTAGTTCCTACAGCGCAAGGCTTTCTCACCTGCAGCTCAACGAGGCTGCGTACCGGCTGGTTCCATAACATGGCAGCCGCGACGACGTCAGTTGAATCTGCTCGCACCCTTCAAGAAGCCCAGCGATTCTGGCTAATTTGTGTGCTCGTGCGCAGCGATTTCGTGCATATTGCGAACACTGGCCAGAGATAGTGTAAGTCACGGCCGCAAGGTCCAGCAGTGTAGGGGCACGCGCCTCACAGTGTGTGTGACCCTAGTGGCCTCACAAGCAAAGCCACGTGACGACTTTCCGGCGCGATGAGGACCGCTAGATTCTTCTGCGGCCACTGAAAGCGGATGTTGCAATGTTTCTCGCCGCTGTCGATATTATACAGCGCTGCCGTGCACGTGCCTGCTCCCGTGCGTGAAGCGCCGACACGATCATCGCTCAGGTGATGGCAAAGCGTGCTTACTGCTGCGCGCATTAGGTACTGGCCTTGCCACTCTTGGGCGCGTGGGCAGGCGTCGTGCGCGCGCGCACGCGTATATGCTTGATCAAGCCGAAACGTGCGTGCTTACGTATACACTATAGCGTACGTTCCGCGTATATCGGCAGCCGTAGCTCCGATACGCCGGCAGCGATTTCCGGCAATGCATGAATGAATCGGCTGCCGGTCGGAGGTCTGTGAGTGGCAGGCAGGCCTTGTATGGCGCGTGCAGCGCCGCGCAGGCGTGAAATTTACACCTCCATTCACGCCGAAGCCCGGCCTTACTCGATGAGCTCTCGGGTGGCCGAAGGAGCTCGCCTTCAAGACTACGTTGGGAGATAATTCCTACAACCTCTCACAGCAAGCTGTTAGGTGTCCTTGGATCCTGCCAACGGGCAGATGCGTCAGCATTCAATATCACCCACAGGGAAATATTTTTGCTTCGTATTGACGGAAATGTGAACGCTACACATATTGCCGTACCACAAAGCCATTGAGGTACAAGAAATGTAGCTGGATGCGGACTTGAGTCCTCCTGGGAAAATCCTGCGCAAGCAATTACAATAGAGGCCATTTTCTGCGTCGTATTTATTCACCTGCATTGGGACGTCCGATACTCATTCATATACTTAGGTTTTTGAGGACGTAGTCTGTTAGTCTTGATAGTGGAAATCGTCACAAAGGTATCAATGCTTTTGAAAAAAATTGCACGTAGCTCTCCCAGCCGAAAATGTTCAGATATCTTTAAGATCACTTTTCAGCTTGGCAGGCTCTGTAGCATGTTCACGCATAAAATGTGAATCAGTGTGTATCAGAAAACACACATTCAAGTGTGTGTTCACGTTCTTCCTGCAGCGGTGAGTTCCATCTCGGTTACCAAAAGTCCAGCCTTCAGAGCATCTCCTGGTACGAACTTGTCCACTGGGAGCACCTAAGGGAAGCACAGTCAAAGCACCGTCTAAGTGAGTATTGCACGTGACGTGAAACCTGATCCAAATGCAACATAGTCGTGTATAGTTGGACGGATGTCAATGTTAATAAAAAAAAATAAAAGTACATTCTGCGTGGCGTGTCATCGCAAATCAGCTCTGCGCGATTCCGCAAGTTGGCAGAAGAGTTACCATAAAAAAAAAAAATACTGCCACTTACCTATAGAGCACAGAAGTACAAGAAAATCAGTATCGGCTTCTTCGTAGCTTCATGTTAGAAAACACATGGTAGTCAGTTCTTCTCAATGTGTTCAACGATGCCGTCAAATAGTATGAATGAAACTGCAGAAAAAATGTCTCCACTCCAAGTTATGACTTGCATAATATTTTTCTATTTAAGGATGCACTCGAGAACAAATCCAGGTGTAGCTGTTCTCTCACCTTGCTGCTGTTGTTGCTGTGTATGTCTACAAGCCTCTTCGGTTTAAAAATACACTTACATCTGCATTGTCGTACGTGGCTGTTATCAGACTGATACACTTTCGTGTAAGCAAATAGCAGCTTTTCATTGACTCATGTGGGCAGTTGAACTGAAGATGTAATTTATCTCATGTGCTTTTCTAAAGGGCAAAGACAAGGACATTGTTCGCATTATATTTGAATATGAATATTAAAGCGCATAGATGCAGCACTCAGAGTGACTCAGAGACCAACAACGAGAAAACGAAGCGTTGCGTGAAGATTGAGAAGAGAGGGTTTAATTAAACACTCAGACTCAACCGTTCCGAGACGAATCGAAGCTCTGGCAGCAGCAGAGACATACGCAAATAGGATAACATGAAAAGACAGTGTGAGGTACCGCGTATCTCGCAAGATCCGCCCCGGAGATCCGCCCGCCTTCCTCTTGAAATTGGTTGGGGGGAGAGTCCTTATAAGTGACCATAGTCGCCGACCGGGCTCCTTTCCTATTGGTCGCACTGGTCGACCCCGAACAAGAACGCGGCGCTCGTCCACTAGGACTCCATGCACGCGCAAGAACACCCCGCGTGCAAATTTAGGCGAGGAAAATTAGAGAAAGAAAGGAGATCAAACAAAATGGCCACCAAAGTAACCTACAAACAGGAAAAGCTGTAAGAAGTCGCTGACTTGAAGAAGCTACAAAGGTAAAAAAAAGTACTAGCAATCATGCGGCGAAGAAGGGGGTTCGCGTTTGGCTCAGAGAAGACGAAGAAGCCATGGGCGTGACGCGATATAAGCGAGAAATTATACGCACGATCCCAATCTTATCCTTCTCCCTCTTCTCGGCGTTTTCCTGAGCTTCTCTTTCCCTCTCTCGCCTTTTGCTCTCGCCGTTTCTAGTTCTGAACTGGCGAATGCTTCTTCCTCGCCCTTTACGCTGTATACATAGATCCCCGCGAGCCGCACAGTCTTTAGGCCGAGCCACAGGGCAGCCGTAGCCGAATGCCCGCCATCCGCCTCACTGCTACACAGAGAGCGACGCTAAGCTGTAGCTGCGACTAGCACGCACACAAACGGCAATATGCACGAGCAACCGGTTTCCCCCTCTCTCTTTTTACCTTTACAGGCTTCCCGAGTCCTTTTTCTTCTTTTGTTTTAGCTTTCGTTCCTCGCTCTCTTCATCTCAGGGAGCTAGCTAGCCCGCTAGATGCACGGCCGTATCACGAATCCCTTGCGATGCGAAAGGAGACCAAAGAAGAAAGAGGTTACCGCCTTAGAGGCAGGAACTTAGTCTACACAACGCCGCTTGGAAGTTGGCGTACGAACTGCGTACGCGAGAAGCACACCTTGAACAACGACAACAACAACAACAAAAGATGGGCGGAGGAACGTAAGGTGGCCGCACGTGTTGCTTTTTATAATGTTCTGAAAGCAAGGGGGTCCTTATGGGAGGCGTCTTATGCTCGCATAAGTAGTCACAGCCTCACTCCATCGTTTGTGTCTGCCCGGGTCAAAGGCAGCTGTGTGCGGCTAGGTCAGCTACCTAACGCAGATCTATCGTAGTTTCGATGTTCTTGTGGCCGAGACAATGCCTATTTGTGTTTATTTTTGTGCTTCTTCATTGTTCGTAGACGCATGCGTTGTGTTCTTGAGGGAGCGGCCGACTAACATGCCAAACGTCGAAAATAGGACATGAGGTGCGGATAAGTAAGGTGACACATAAAATACGAAGATATTCAGTACGCATCTGCTCATATCCTTCATGCATTGCGTAGGCACGGTTCTGAATATTCAATAATAGGTACCTGCTTGAAACTACCATTGTTTTGAAGAGCTAAATGGTTCCCAATTACAGAAGTTCTCTAGTGGAGGCAACTATGCCATTGTGAACAAAGCTGTCCGCGTAATTGCTGGTCATGTTTGGGTACTTGGGCATATTGATCCTTTCATTCATGCTAATGACGAAGCTGCGCATGAATTCTAGTGAAATGCCCCTCTTCAGTTGCATAAAGATCTCCACGACGACATTTGCAGTTACGCAATCGGAGCAGGAGCGATCGTGCATCTTGTTGGTGCGGTTGCAGACAAGTCGTTCGGGCTGGCTGTGGGTGCACGCAGTGCTCCAGGTGAAGGATGGCTCTGACAGCTCTCAGCAGCCCGTTATCGTATGCACTAACCAAGTTCTCAGGTGAGATATGTCAAGCATATACGGTAATGCTCCTTTTCGCTCTTTTAAAATATGGTGAAGTTATACAAGTCTTCGTAATCTAAAGCTTGCTAACGATAAAAGGTGGTCCACTTGGCAGGGCGCTTTAATCTCACTGATTAGTGTCAATGATGTGTACGTGGCTAAGTATATATATTAAGCCTGATAATATACCTTTTGATTATCAACTGGCTTTTCACTTCCAGCTTGTCTGTTCTGAAATAATTGATTTCTGAAATAATTGATTTCGCCACTGAAATGATTGATTTCGCCATCTACAATCACAGCTGGTAGTTCAAAGATGGCACTAGGTGAAATGTCGTGTATCCCAACTGTGCTTGGTAGTAACACAAATGTGGGCCCAAAGTCACACAAAGCTCTTACGTTATGATGGTTTGTAAGAAAATATTTCAGGTAATACCAACTCTGGAAATGTCCACAAATATTGTTTACTAATCACAAACAGCTTCTACTAAAATTTTTCCAGGGATGAGGATGGTCACTGTATTTCTTAAATATCCGCGGCGACAATTGGGACCACTGAGCTCTCACAAATTATAACACTTGCAGCGTAACATCATGCATTAGGATAACACAAGTGCTATTATTGTGTAAGCGAAAGTTTCAATGCTAGCAGCTGCCATGCATAAACTAAGAATCGTGCTCTTTGTTGCAGCGAACGAGAAGCAGCCGTGATGCGGGCCAACTCTTGGCTCTACCAATACTACTCTCTCCACTCGAAGATGCACTACGGCCTCGCGTACGAAGCAACACGCCTGCCAGCTTACTACCCAACTCCTGTGATGCCCTATCCACCACCTCCCCCGCCTCCACCACCACGAGAAGTGCCGCAAGCACCGCTACCACACTCGCCTTATCCCCTTGCCCCATCACCTCAATGGAGCACCAGTCCCTCATCATCCACAACACCACCCTGGTGTGCTCCAGTACGGCGGCCCGTCTCCACACAGTGGTCTTCCTTACAGCAGCGTCGCTACTAGCGCCGCAGCAAGCCGCAGCTTCAGCATGTGCCAGCACAAGCAGTCCAATCCCTTCACCTGACCACCGGAAGTGGACACCTACTTCATCTTCCGGTGGGCTCAAGAGACCGGCGTCTCCCGGTCCGAGCATCAGCGTAAGCAGTGGCGGGAGCCTTAGCGGGAACTCCAATGGCACGACTACCAGTCCGACTCTTCCCAAGGCACCGAGACCAAGCTATGGTGCCTTTACAGGAACTCGCTCCCCTGCTTCCTTCCGGATACTACGGTGGGCCCGGGCAGGTACTGGCCGCAACTGCTCCAGTTCCAGCGGCCTTTCGTGCCCCCACAAAGCTACCCGATGATAGGCTGGCCGATGTGGAACAGTCTCTGACTCCAACGAACACGGAAGACGTGTCCCAGCTGATCTCAGGTGGCTGGACCCGGTTACCTGCGGCCAACGTACATGTCTCTCGATGACCCTGAGGTGGCAAAGGCCACGCGAAGCGTGGCACCGTATCCGACGCCTCTTGAACCACCCGCCTACTATCCTCGCTACCTGGAGCTGAAGCCTTACGCTTGAACTCGCCGACGGCAAGGAACCGTACGCTGCTGCGGCTGCTGCAGCAGCAGCCGCGGCAGCGGCGCAGAGTTCGGCGGATCTCAGGGAAGGTTTCCTCTACCACCGGGGCGCCTTCGCTCCACCGCGGTTATCGGCACCATGCGGAACTGGCAGCGAAGATGAAGCGGCGGCAGCTTTAGACGCCTCTGCAGCAGTGCATGCGGCAGCTGTGGCGGCTGCGGCTCATCACCATCATCAGCATCCTTACTGGCACCGGCCGGTTGGTGGCACAGGCCCTGCAGGTTTAGGTGGTGCTGCTGGTGCCATCGACGCCGCCACTGGAGCATGCCTTCCACCACAACCGGGACACCGGGCGATCACCGAGGAACCAGCTTCTGTCGAATCCTGACCGGGTGAGGGTTACTTGCATGGTGGAAAGAAAGTTGACGAGCATTTTGTGAAATAAAACGTGAATTAATTGTCACTGCCCACTATGTGTGTTAGCATGCAAAACCCATACTTCCAAACAATGCCATCTCGCGTTGCAACACTTCTGCAACTTACTGGGTCACATGAATTTTCATGCAGTACGTAGGTTAAGCTTTGTACGTGGGCGAATATTCACGTCACTCTATTTCATGATGTTGTAAACTTTCATTTTCGCAGCAGATGTAGGTAACATTCTGTCTATGTCATTTACATCTTAGAAATTGTAAGGCTATAAATGAATTAAATTAGGTGGACTTTGACTTTCGCGTAATTTTACAATATTATAGCTTCTATATTGCAGCATATTTAACCCTCATGGTGATTAGGATTGTAAGTATCTGACCACTGCGACACTTTTTTGATGAATGCAACAATCAAGAGGTCTGTGTACTTAGATTTAGATCTTGTTCAGGAAAGTTGGGTTGTCAAAATTGCAGGAGCCATTCACCAGACATCGGCAATATTCACATCGTGGTTTTAGGTCGTATACCCTTAACAAATAATTATTACACCTAACGATGAAGTTTTTCATACAAACTTGGCGCATTGAGAGATACGAGTTGATTCACTTTAAATAAATCCAAGGCCTGTTCGTATTTATTGAAAGCCGTGTTCTTAGATTACCTGATGAGAAAATTTTTATTCCCGTAATATTCGACATTCCTTGAGCCGAGCCAGCTGGCCAATAACAATGAGCTGTCAAAAACTAAAGTATCTCTTGCTTTAGTCTTGGTTTGTATTAAACAAAGCCCTAATATGAGTCAAGCCAAGCAGTCATCTCAAATATTTGACAGGTGAATACCCTTAGTGCGATTGACGAGTGGGATACTGTTGTAATTAGGTGTTACTAACGTTTGTCTGCATTCTTTGGCCAGTGCTGCGACTGGTGGCCTGATTCTTTCTTGAAGTTATTAGCACCTTTCATCCCAGCAGAATTAAATGTGACAGTTCAATCGCACTACCAAGCAACACACACTTTTTCGTCTATCACGCCGTCATTTTTTGTTACGACACGGGGAAATTTTCTAAACACCAAATCACATCGAAATATTTATTTTACTCTTAGGAAAACTTCTCAGCGTGACCTAACTACACTATACGGTTCGCAAACTACTTGAGGGCACCTCACGATTGTGGTTGTGGTTGTGGTTGTGGTTGTGGTTGCATATGGTGATGAAGTCTGGAAAACAACAGATAAGTGCGAATTGAATGTCTTTATTGATACTAAAAGTGTATTCACAATACCACGTAATGCATAGCGCGTGCCACTGGTCGTGCATTTAAAAAGGGATAACTGTTTATATCAAAACTTATAGCACAGCAGATGAGAAATACTTCGTGAGGTGCCCTCAAGGAGTTTGCGAAACGATTTAGTGTAGTTAGGTCACGCTGAGAGGTTTACTAAGAGTAAGCTAAATATTTTCGATGTGATTTGGTGTTTCAGAAACGAGTGAAGAGTGATGATTTTCATATAATGTAGAGTGACCTGTCATTGAACGGCTGTTTTACAGCAATTATTGACTTCATAGTACGAGTTCTCAGTTGCTCCGTACGAGCGAGCCGATACTTGAACTTTTGTCCTAGATATTCAAATTCAAGTATGACGAGAACCTGTGTCTCTTCTTGTTGCAGCTGCAGTGCTTGGTGCCGGCCAAGTCACAGTTGTGTGACAGCCTGCGATTCCGCCTCCGTCCAGCTTCGGAGTTCCTCTTCCGATTCAATGAGAGTGACCGTATGGCATATTGCCAGCACAGCAAGCATAAAACTATGGCTTGGATGAAGACGGATTGGGACAATCGCGTTACTGCACCACGCACAAGCACACACCGTCCACCCGCGCTTGCTGCCATGGCAGACCGCCAGCTACGCGGACCGAAACTTTGTGGAAAGACTGCTGAATGCCATCCGCCTTCGAAACAGTACATAGCCAAGCACAGCTTGTGACGAAGCCTCTTTTATTATTATTTATTTCGGACATTTGATTGGGACGGTGTAAGGAAATTTCATATCCTTACGTGTGTGTTATTTTGATCAGTGGTGCGTAGTGAACAGAGTGACGGATTATAAATGGATCGTACTGGCAGGGGTGACAAGAAATACCTGTGGAAACTGGAATCACATTTCCAAACTTCCAACGTGCGATGATGTTGCCGCAGGGAGTACAGGTGATCCTTTACATCAACACCAAAGAGTGAAGCAAGTACTCAAACAAGTATTTTGTCATCTTCTTCAATAACAAGCCCCGGTTACATTTGCTTGCCTATTAGTGTTGTGTTTTCAAGAGTGAGGTTGACATTATACGTTCACTGTTTTTCTATAATACCATTTGTTATAGAACATCAGGAGGGGAACACAAAATAATCGTGGCACTGTTACGAACCATGTACGAACAAATATGGTGTAGTACAACGGCACGTTAGGGAGACTTCGCTGTCCTGATGTTTACTGACAGCGATGAATGTATTCAGAAGCTCAGCCTTTGCTTTAACGGAAATAATATTTCTTTCTAAGTGCCTTACTCCATCAATTCAGTGGTACTTCCCACTGTGTATTATAGTCCTGGAAAGCATGAAAATTTTCGAAAAAAGTTGCAATGCTGCTTTCGGGCCCTTTAGTCGGAGCCGATTTCTGATGAACATGTCCAATTGCACGACGTGCCTTCTATGTCTAGGATTTTTTCAGCCATTCTTGATGTAGTTGACACTGAAATGCAAGAAAGCTTAGTGCTGCCTAGAAATTTAAAAGCCCCATTTTGATTGTACATAAAGTTCGATCTACAGAAACTAAAGAAAGTGCGTTTTGGGGAGGTTCAACTCTACTCCGGATGTCTGCTGCGGCATTGCTTGCGGCACCTCTTGTTCTATTGTGAACTGTGTGGATTGTCTAGCTTAAATGAATAAGGTTATAACTTGTGAGAAAATGTCAGTGGGGGTAGTGAAAGAGACACATTAAAAGTAGGCCTTATGTTCCGGTAGGTTTCAGTATGCAGCACACTGTGATAACGAACAAACATTTCTTCCAAACGCATATTATGCTGCGCTGTCATGAGTTAGTGGGCAGTACGAGCCTACAAAATACATCAATGGCTAGAATTGTATGGGGTTTCTGCGCAACAAATGCAACTGTCTGTATGTCTGAAATTAAACGGTAGAGGACCACTAAATTAGGCGGTTATTCTAAATTGCAGCACAGTAAGAATGATTCAAATTGCAAGCTTTGAACATGTGGTTTCAAGCCAATCAGCGATAAGATAGTGGCCGATTCGGAGTGTCGTGTTCATGGCAGGGCCATCGCTGAGATACCTCACGGGGAGCCTTGGGCAAGATGAATAAACACGAATGTTGTGTAATGCTCTGTTATATAGTTCAACCTAATCTAACAAATTACTGCTCCTGCGAAGCAAGTACGAGTTTCATGTGTGCTTGACGATTGATGTGAGCTAGCAATGTGTTTGCCGATGGCCCATGTCTCGCAAAAAAAAACGCGCATAATTCAATAAATAGATTACATGTTCTAGCAGGTAATAGTGCTACTGTAGGTACCAGAATTGAACTGTTTCATTATAAAAAAATTTTCAGTCCTCACAAACTTTGCTGAAGACAGATATTTTAACTCAGGATGGCTAGCATGATGTATCTTTTATCAATTCTACTTTCACAACGCGGTTTCGAGGCAGCTGTTTCTACCATATCCACTAATTTCACTTGTTCACTTGCCTTAAACTACAGAATATAAACCGACATAAACTGAAGATACCGCGTGAATAACGGAACGCGTATTATTCAGCACCGCGCTCAGGATCGAACAAACTTGATTTGCACCGTAGACATGCGGCACCACATAATATTACCACTTTGTCTCCAAGTTGTCCCTTTAGATGCACATGACGTTGCAATATAACACTGTGTATGTGAACAAATATTTCGAGCACTAGGAATGGCCACAACACCTCCCTTGAAATATCTAATTCCAGTTGTCCACTGAGCGAAGGACAAATATACGCA